GGGATATACATACAGACAATATTTTTAAATTCATTGTATACATAGTGAATGCAACAAAATTAACAATACATATAAAGGATAAATAAATAACAAGGCCGTCACGCACGGCTAACGAGATAATATACAACAATTTAATAAAATCCAAAATGTACACCGGATATTATAAAGTAGGCCTGCACCGAGGCCCACGCGGACCTAGGGGACCTTCAAGCCAAATATGGATATCGATTTTCGGATCAGAACCCAACACGCCGCTTCGAAGCGGATTGACGGGTCACAAATTTAAGTACCTTCATTATATATGTATTTCCTTGACATGTACGAAAAGCTCAAATATTAACTATACATAACTAACAATAACATTTGGTCGACCTTCGCATAACTGGCTGGCATTGTAATCACTATTATCAACATATTTTAAAATTAAGAAGTACAAAATATATATGTATTTATATATAGTAGCAGTTATATAAGTGATTATATATATGTGTATACAGGGTGACTGGTGAATTACTATCGATACTTGAGGACGTGATATTTGACGATCATATATGACAAAATAAAAATTAATATAACATAAATATTAATAAACTTCTAAGTAAAGTTAACCAAAAGTTATGTCATTAATTACGCATCGTGTGAACACCCTACAGATTAGGTATACACACACGCACACACACAAACACACGCGCGTGCGGCGGCGGCGGTGCACACTTGGAACACTTGGAACGTGTCCACACTTTATTTATTTATACGGAAATTTGGTCAAAAATTAAGTGCCTATTTTTATTACATAATTCGAATGAGAATCATGTACCAAGTATTCTCTTTAAATATTGATAGTAATTCACCAGTCATCCTGTATATATCAAAAAAAACTAAGTCCTAAGCAGATTTTGATGTAACTGTACACTACTATAATTATACTAAAATATTATATGCAATTTAATTCGATACTGTCATAACAATTACTAAACAAATTATAAGATAAATCAAGTCTGCAAACGAGCCAGAAGCTGCCAAAAAAAATATCTCCCAACTGTATAACGAGTTTAACACCATATTCGGTGGTTCATAGTACGAAAAGGTTCATTGACCCCATTCTCGGTGAGATGAGAGAGATAAGTTTGAGGAAGTCACAAGACCTGTTACGATTGCCAAAATGTAGTTTTTTTGTGTAAAGTAATTGTCGGACATCGCTATATACGGACGGCGTTCTGTCTTTCTTTATATAATAATGTGTACACAACCTTATATACATATATCTATATATGTTAAAGAAATATTTTGTAAACTTTACCTGAAAATATATATGAAATGAATATGACACATGGACGATAAAAAAAAAATTGGAAGGTAAGCAGGTCTTAAAATATATAATTTTATGTATTATTATAATTCTTAATAACATATAAGTACATATAAGGATTTGTCATAAATGACGTTTTAAATGTTTTCAATACCAAGAATTTTCAATGGAAAACTATAAAAAGGTATTGTTCTTCTAACACAAATTATATAGCATCAGATATATAAAAAAAACACATTCAATATGAACATAAGACACGATCGTTTAGTTTTTTATTTGATATTTATAAAGCAATCAAAATCACTACTAGGTACAAAACAAAAAATTAAATTTTAACAAGTTGACGCTCGACAGTCACCGGAGGCGTTTATGTTATTTTCATACTTATATAAACTATAAAAACAACACTAAGTAATTAATATTAAAAAACTTCTATTCATAGGAAATGATAAATATTTATAAAGCTTTAATGAATTAATAAAACTTTGAGACACCGCGTAATAGTAGCAGCACTTTAGCGACACACAGCGCCATCTAGTGTGGATAACGAAATCGACAGCATGAGCATAAATAATTAATAGTTAATTAAAAATACGAATCAATTTAATTATTCTATAGTTCTAATTATATTTTCAAATTGAGCAGATAAAATAATAAAAATAAGACTTAGGCGTAGTGTTGCCACTCATCGCTAGATGGCGCAAGTTGTCCCATAGCAAATTATCTCGTAAAGAAAACACTATAAAAATTTTAAAACGAACATGTTTGATAATTTGAAGTACCCCCAGTATATATCAATAACATTGCGTTTAACAACCTTTCTTATTGAATTCGAACTATATACCTACAGTCTACAGATAATTTTAAATTAAATATCATGCCTATACAATTAGTAGAGTTACATATATCAGAAATAAAACTTGATTATTTTAGTTTTGAAAAATTATTTAATCAAATAAATTTATAATACAATATAAATATTATAACAATTCGACCGATACGATTCATACCGCTGCAGTATTGTAACAAAGAACTAACAAGGTTACGATAACTTCGAAAACTTCAAGCCATTACTAAATGATAATCATCATCATCCTATCAGAGCCCACTGCTGAGAGGACTCTTCTCACATGGAGAAGATTAGAGCATTAATCACCACGCTTGTAAGACGGGTTAATGATTTCAAACTTATAATTGTGAAATTATAAGTCCATGTTTCCTCACGATGTTTTCCTTCACCGTCTGTCAGTGATGTCTAAATACTCTTAAAACTGATATCTTACATGGTTGATGTTCAACTTATGTATAATAAAACATATTATTATATTAGTTATCACTAGTATATTATTGAATAAAACAAATCGTACGTGTTCACAAGGCTGAATGTATATCTATATGAACGACGATGAGTGAAGACTAGCCTCGCCGAATATTATATTTTATTATAAATTTAAACATTGTTCTCATTGTATATTATTTAAATGTTTATTACAAATACACAAAAATATATATATTTATATTTGAATTTTTTTTCCTTTAAATGACGACAAGTGTTGAATATGATATACCTACATATAAATTAATTTTAACCTTAATCAAAAAATTACATCTTCAACTGAACATTTTTTTATTTCATTAAATTACCAGTGAACATGATAACTAGGAATTTTAAGATTTTTGAGTAGAACAGTAACTTTAATATAAGTTTTCGTAACTCAACACGAGCAGTATAAAGTTTATTATCGTCAACATACCTACACTCATGACAACATATAAATATCATGAAATAAAGATTTATGATGGAAACATATAGTTTTGGCTACAGAGATATAAATTAAATTATACATATATATGTATATTATATAACTATCGTTACGAATCGTCAACAGTGTCCATTATATAAATGTCAGAATATATTCGCGGCTAATTGTTTTTCCACTTCAACTATCAATTGATTGCATATTAACATCGCTTCCTGGTAATCGGAATTTCAAAATCCGGTGCTTCAGTCCGGCCGAGAGCTCACGCAAATACACACACACACACACACACACACACACACACACACACACACACACACACACACACACACACACACACACACACACACACACACACACACATATACAGGGTGACTGGTGAATTACTATCAATATTTAAGGAGAATACTCGGTACATGATTCTCATTCGAATTATGTAAAAAAAATAGGCACTTAATTTTTGACAAAATTTCCGTATAAATAAATAAAGTCTTGACACGTTCCAAGTGTTCAAGTGTGGACGCGTGCGGCGGCGTGCTGATACAACACTACGTCACGACACGCGTATGTGTGAGTGTCAGTTTATACCTAATCTGTAGGGTGTTCACACGATGCGTAATTAATTACATAACTTTTGGTTAACTTTACTTAGAAGTTTATTAATATTTATGTTATATTAATTTTTATTTTGTCATATATGATCGTCAAATATCACGTCCTCAAATATCGATAGTAATTCACCAGTCACCCTGTATATATATGTGTATACATGTATATTAGAACCCTAACAGTACATATAAGCTACATTAGACACACCACTCCTCTCTCTTCAATATAAAATGCGGCCCAAATTTCATAATGGGCGCTGCAACGAATTCTTACCGATACCGAAAACAAAAAAGTCATACAATGCATTGGGGTTAACGACCTCGATGCATGAGAGCAATCTAGATCATATCGTAGTATTAATAGCACGGCTATTTAGAGAATATTTTCGCCAGTTTGCATAGTTGATGCCGCCTTGACAATAGATGGCGTTGATCGAATATTTTTGGCATTTAAATTAATTCACATAACAAAAGACATACATAAATCTCGATGTAAGGACGGCATTAATTATTCGCCAGACGCGAACATTCGTATAATGCACGTGCAAATTATCGACATACCGATGTTTAGGAGTTAAGTAATAACTATGACGCAACGACAGACATTCATGCAAGCGTGAACATTGCTCATAAAGAATTAGCAATGCATTATAATATATAATTACTTATATTAAAATGACAGTTATGATCTTAAAACCTACATGTTACTTGAACGGAAGGTTAAAACTACCTTATAAACAAATAATAATCATCTATTCATTAAACTACATACATATAAACAAAGAAATATCGTGACGTATGTTTGTTGAGTCCGATAAATAATATAAATGGCATTAAAATATATTTGTATACAGCTTCACATTACCACTGAGAGATAATGTGTCTAAATATTTAATTTGTATAGAGTTCGTTTTCATATATTTATTAAAAGTCGATAAATAACAAGACCAACTGACAGACGTTCACATCTCGTCTGCTTTTGATCACGGTTACTGAAAACTAGCCGAAACTTCGGTAGTATTTAGTTTTTTACTAAAATAAACCGCGTAGTATATCCGAAAAATATTAGTTTCATTTAAAAGTCGATATATCAAATCGTCCTACTAATATAATAATTGCGAAAGTTTATGAGTGCGTGTGTGTGTTTGTTACTTCTTCACGCTCAAACGGCTGAATCGATTTTGATAAAATTTTGTATACAGGAAGCTAAATTCCAGGAATAGCACATAGGCTACTTTACATGCCGGAAATCCGCGTGTAACACCGCGGGGTTCGGCTAGTATGTAATAAGTCCAATAAAGGTAATGTTCCATTATAATAACCTTATATTCCTACCTTATCTCTGTGTGAGTGTCGATGGTGCGTAACCGGTGGTGGGTTGTGTGATGGTTGACCCTGGTTGGTGACGACAACCGGCAGACCGTCCACTATGGTGACCATCACTCGTTTATCAGCACTCCTCCGCCTTTCCGCCGAGTTTCTTCTTCTACGCTGTTCATCTGCTACAGGCTTAGCGAAGACCGTTCTTCTATCGAAGGTCCTCGCGTCAGGCTGCGTGTCAACCCTGGTGGCCGGTGTGTGGCTCTTGGATCGTTTCAACAGTCTCATCACGTGTGACTTGATCGCATCGGGTTTACTGACCGGCTGTGTTTCCGGCTTGTGTTTGTATGACTGTGAGTGCGCGTGGTGGCGCTGTACGGACACGCTGTTCCCCATGCCGGGCGGTATCACGTTGGACAGACTCTTCACCGCGTATGCCGCATCCACTTTGTTACCAGCCACGCACGATACCTCGTACATACCGAATCTTACGCCTGACACTTCTTACACTAACTCAATCTCACTTAGATCATTTTTCTTGCGAATATTATTTCTTAAACACTGCAATCCTCACACTTTATATCACATTCGAAACTCTTCCTTTAAAACACTTATGTTTACATCCGTTTACGTATAATGTCGGAACGGTTGCGTTACGGAAAAATACGATGAGAAAACTTACATACATGGAATATAATTGAATACGAATGAGTCATGAGACCATAAGCTATATATCCAACGTGTATAATAATTAATTATCGAGTTATCGCTCGACACGTCCGTACGTGACGAGCGTTCGAGCCGCACTGAGTATCACCAGTTCGTCGTTCTGATGATCTTTAAAGCCACTATCAACTATAGATACATGATAAGACTGAATACTTCAGTGTTCAAAACGTCCTATACCGTCAAAGGTCAATGTTTCAATGGAGTTGGACCAATTGATGTAATTGTTGATAACCGGTGACCGTACTGTCAGTGGATGTGACGATGTACGAATTAATCTATTAAACTTCGCGAATACCTCGGGGGCATAGAGTAGTTGGGAGGGAGATGAATTATGGAGCGGATGTTATCAACCAAAAAAAATCTAAAGATCTCAACAGACTGTGATGTAATTTCAGTGTTTTTTTCTTTGGTTATTCAATATTCAAGAAGACGAAGCTCGCTCCAAACCGCATTATCTTTAACCTGACGCTCAAAGGAATTTTAAGTGAATTCCATGTTTTACCTTTCTCTCGGTATTTCCTTTGTAAACGCGATAACTTTCTACTAACATACTTTACGCCCCCAAAATTTCAGTCAATCCTAATTGAATTCCAACATTATTGTACTAATTATATTAGCGTCTTAATGTAAGACTTGTTTTGACGAATTATAATTAGATATTTGAAATAAACTTCACTTTATATTCTAAAATGAGTTTTGTATTAATTGAACCAAAATTCTAAACTACTCTTAGGAATAAATGAAAAATATAGTAAAATTCTTTCTGAAAACAGATCTACGCTTCTCAAATGTATATATATATATGAGGATGTACATTAAAAATTATATCTTGTTAACATAAATTGCTTAATGTATGATAGATGTCATTAGTTATGTATGTATGTGGATGTCTAAGCTATAGTCTACAAAGTGAAAGTTTAATTATGTTTTATCGATAGTTTAAATATCAATTAAATACAGTAATAAATGATTCATGTAGTATAATGATAGCAATATCAATATTGTACATTGAATATATGGTTTAATTTTCTTTTATAAAATTTAAACTAGGCATGTGTTTGTATCATGAGTAAAAAAATCTTAAATTGTATATTAAATATGAAACATTATTCCATTACAACTACAATAAAATGGGTATATATAGGATTATAATTTATTATTAAAATTAAAAATAAAATTTATTGGAAAGCAACTTTGACTTTTTTTGAGTAATGATTTAAATAAACAAATCATTTAATAAACCGTTAAGTCAAAATGTAGATTAATTATCACTTTAATCTATGATATATTAAACTTTATTAGCTTAGATAATATGTAAACTCAAGAGCATTTTAGGCGTAGACTTCAGTTACAGCCACGTTATCAAATACATATTTTAATGTTAAACAATAAGATATAATTAAATATTAACAAAAAATACTACACACTTATTGGCCAAATAATATTATTTAATTAATCTATTTACACCAAGCACAAAAACAAGAAGCCGATCGTATTTCTCAAACGTAATTAATTCCTATAGGAATATACGTGTTTTTGTTTATTTGTAAAGACGTATCTTAGTATGCAAACATACTTATTATATATACTATAAAAATAAATACATATTATTTATTGTAAATCAACATATGGGTATATACTACAGCCATATTTATTCATTCTATGGTCTCTCATAAAAAATACGTTTTATTTATATATATCGATATCTATTACGTATAAAGACCAATAATGTGCAAAATGACTATTAATCAGTAGAGTGCTCTAAGTTTGACGATGACATACATATACATCATTTAAGTTTGATAAAATTTTTTGTTACGATACCTTAAAAAGTGTGTTACTTATGTCCTTTTATTGTAATAAAAACTATTATGAAGTGTTTAAAGCAAAAAAAATAAAATATCTAAATTGCTACATTGGCCCTTATACATAGGGGCCATCGATATATTTTCGTGAGATATCGATATATATAATATATTTTCGTTTAATCAATATGTTTTCTTCAAGATCTATATCACAAATTTCATCAAAACCTGTCCTTCCATACTTCCGAGTTCCGAGCCCGTGTTTGCAACACTACAATAACTTCTCACAGAGACCTGTCCAACCGACAGATATCAAATAGAATCCAACTTGCTACTGATAAAAGCTACCCAACTCATTGTAGAATGAGGTTTCAGGAAATTACAGACTTTAATATATATAAAGAAAACATATAGTGCTGTGTACATAACGTGTTGAACTCCACATATACTTATATATATATAAACTAAACGTGTACTGCTGAATGTTGGTCTATCAAACCTATAATAATAACTTTTATATCAGTTTAGGAGTTATTGCATATTGTAAGTCTGTACATTCACGATAAATACACAGACAGTGATATGACTATATACCTATAGTACAAAAAAAGGATCAACCTTTGGTGTAAGATAAAATCATATAATCAAATATATTTTATATTTGACGAGCAAAGCAGCAGCGATAGCGTAGTATTATGATCACGAACCTATTTAAGCGATTAAATGAACACCCACAAGTATTGGATCTATCATTAGCTAGAGAATTAAATGTTCTTATTAAAATTTAATTTCCCATATAAACTTCATTACAAAAACAATATGTAATCATGGTATAATAAATATGACTAAAATTTAATTTATGAAATATTATGATTAATTTTAATACATAAAACAGTAATTCGGAAAATATATACTTATGACGCCTATTAAAAACGGAACCTTCGACAAGATATTTAAGTATTTAAAGACAAATTATTTATTATAAAGATAATATTATATTGAGAACAAAATTTCTATAAGATTTGCTAACGAAGTAAGTATGACATAATAAAAACTATTTTATTAACAATGCTTAATCTACATATTTGGAGTCAATACTTTTAGTTCAACTCTTTATTAAAACTAAAAATATCTTTTTGTGTATGTACAGTAAAAGCTTCATACGAAACTCAATTATAAAAGTCAATATTTAAATCAAAAACAACAAACAATATCCGTATTCATTCCAGCCCCGACCAAAGCTGTGCAGATTGATAAAAATTTGTTTCAGACAATTGAGAACGTTACAAAAAATAACGTTTTAAAAATAAGAGAAAAGATTAGGAGAAATAAAGCCTATATGATAATATACAAAAACAAACAAAATTTAAAGATATACGCAACATACAACTATAATACTTGAGATAAAAAGAGATACGAAAAATGAAATTATAAGGAAGATACAATAAAATAATAATCATATGAATTAAGATGGTTATAAGAATTAAGTTTTATCTATTATAATTAAGCCACGATATCAACCTCTCATACATGAGGGCGCGGGTTCGAACCTGGCAAGTACCAATGTGATTTTTCCGAGTCATATGTACTTTATAAGAGTATTTAGACATAACTGACTGATGAAGGAAAACATCGTGAGGAAACATGGACTTATAATTTCACAATTAAGTTTGAAATCACCAACCCGTCTTGAGCAAGCGTGGTGATTAATGCTCAAACATCCATGAGAGAAAGAGGCCTTTGCTCAGCAGTGGGCTCTGATAGGCTAAAAAAATCCACAATAAATTAACACTATTTAGTTTGAGTTATTAATGCAAATGGCTCATAATCACCAATCGATATATATGTTGTATGTATGTCTTTGCTATCCAAATATATTCAAATATAAAGTGTTAATCATCACCGTCCTCAATATTCCTCTCATCACGAATGTCACAAGGTAAATATATTAAATTGGAACGGAACTCCCATAAATAGACGTACCTACCTGAACATCCGCGGCCCGATCGATAAGGCTCACCACACAAATATATGTATAATGCATTGAAGTGGCCAACGAAATACTATTACAGGATAAAAGAAGTATAAAAAGAAGTATACGAATCTTTTGTTTATTATTAGACTAGATTTAATTGGTCATTTGGTAAGGTCAAAACAACGCGATTTTTATCAAAACCACATACTGAGAACAATATTAGTTTCATTTAAATGAATACTCGCGAAAATCTTAGTCTTATTAAGATCAAAACAATATGCTATAAGGATTTAAACTGTTTTAAAGCAATTTCGCTAAATAATGTCTAGATTATTTAATTAATATCGACTCAGGAGAAAATATAGAGTTCTAAAAGCAGACTATTTTATCGCAAACCAAAAAAAACATTACCTTGAGTCTTAATAAAGTTCAATTTAATTGTATATTAATAAAGTGATATATATATTTAAATTTCATTAATCATAATCATTGACTACTAACTCTACACAATACAACATCATCTCCAAGGTTTTCCTGTTATATACAAAGATTATTCATCTTTAATTTTCCACAATAAAAAATAACTACATGGTGTTAAGAATTTCATTGTAATTTACACCATCACATACTAATATTAAAGCACATTTTAGAGTGACATATTATAATATATATGTAGTTGATAATTTTGCATAGTCAGTGCCCATAGAGGTTTTTGTTGTCTAATTTGGGACATGATTGTTCCGACATTGGCTTGAGGCTATAACATACATATATATCTTATTGTTTGAATCTTATCAAGCCTTAAATTTGTATAAGAATTTTATGTACTAGAAAAACTAAGTTGTATGAATCCAATGAAAAGTCATCCAGAAAGTTTTCTATAGAAATTTAATTCTATGCAATTAATAATAAGAAATTTCGTACGTTTTCCGAGATTCGTTCAAATTACCAGGAGATCAAAACACAGCGGA